GCTTGGGTATGGTTAGGAGGGCACTGACTTTTCTAAGCTGCCCTATCTATGTTTCCTGGTAAAATACATGGAAAGATCCCATTGGAGGAAAATCCCAGTTAGGGTTAGGTCACCATGAACTCATAGAGCAAAATGGACGTCGCCAACAAATTTGGAGTTCTTGGGTACGGTTAGGAGGGCCCTTACTTTTCTAGGCTGCCCTATCTATGTTTCCTGGCAAAGTACATGGGAAAATCCCATTGGAGGAAAATCCCACTTAGGGTTAGGGTTAGGTCACCATGAACTCATAGAGCAAAATGTACATCGTCAACAAACTCAGAGTGCTTGGGTATGGTTAGGAAGGCATTGACTTTTCTAGGCTGCCCTATCTATATTTCTTGGTAAAACACAAGAAGAAGAAGAAGAAGAAGAAGAAGAAGAAGAAGAAGGAGGAGGAGGAGGAGGAGGAGGAGGAGGAGGAGGAGGAGGAGGAGGAGGAGGAGGAGGAGGAGGAGGAGGAGGGCTGGAAGGAAAGGCATGCAAGTATGGAATAAAATATTTAATTGAACTTCACATTCCCCGCTGGAGCTATGGATCTGGATGGCCACATATACTTTCTTCCCTCTTTCTCACACTGCCTGGTGTGATTCTGAGGATGGCCCTCGAGGGAAAAAGAAAGATCATTAGATGTTGGTGAAGCCATACAAGGAAAAGAGCTGGTTACCTTCTACTCACTGTGCAGAAGAAGAATGTTCAAGATGTAGGTGTCTGATCCTTTCTTGATTGAAATCAAGAAAGGCTTTTTAGATTGAGCCCGAGGAGATTGTTACTACACTCAAAAAGAATGATTAAAAATATGGAAACATCAAGTTAAACATCTTCCTAATTGGATAGGACCACTTGAGGAGTTGCCTGGAGTTTTGGAGGAGAAGTGGACGGTTTGGAGATGTTTAAATAGACTGCACACTGGTTCAGCTAGAACTAAAGACCCCATGGGAAAAAAAACGGGATTTTCTATCAGAGGAGAAGGATATTTACTGCGAATGTGGCACTACTAAAGCAATCATCCATCTTTTACAGTGCCCCCTGGGGCTGGCATACACACAGAATGACTTGCTGCTTGGAAATATCCCTGCCATCAGTGTGGCCGGGAATTAAATCAATTTGCTTTCATTAATTTTTTTAATCTTTTCAAATGTAAATTAATAATTTTCCCTTCTCTACTTCCTGCATGTCTGATACGAGGTGAGACCCTTTCCGATAACACACTATTATGTATTTCAAAGAATCTCAGAATAAATCTTCCAAAGATGTGCTTATAAGTCACGGAGAACTTCATGCACAATTCCTTTTCTCCAGGGAAGGGGGCCTCCCAACTGCACAAGGGACTCTTTTTCCATCAGGGCAGCCTTTTTCAACCAGGGTCCCCTGTATATTGTGGGATCACATTTAATGCCGCATGTCTCCTTCTGAGATATGACGGAGCTCATAATACAACAGCATCTGGTCATTAGGAAAGATTGCAGCAGTGGAAAACTTTGACCCCTCCAGATGCTTTGAACCTCAATTGTCATCAGTCTCATGAGCAAGGGAACTAGTAAGTGATGCTGAAAATTGTCATATAGCATCTTCCTCATGGTTGAAGGAGCCAGTCCTCTGTTAGAATAAGAGAATAACCGAAGAATTGGAGGTCATCTAGTCCAACCCCCTGCTCAGGCAGGAAACCCTGGACCATTTCAGACAAACGGTTGTCCAATCTCTTATTAAAAATCTCCAAGTCATTCCACTGATTAATTATTCTAAGGGTCTCAGGACATTTCTTAGTTCTAGGTTGGCTCTCTTCTAGTCGTAAATTGGTTTTCTTCTCTCTTGGAGAAATGGATCTTAATTCATCCCTTGAATGACAAAGTTATTGTCTCGCAGATGTAAATACAGTAGCTGTACTAGCTAACCTCTAAGTGGTAATCTTTATTGAATATGGAGCTAGCAGACTTAATATAAGCAATAGACATCTAAGTTATTCCCACAGTTTAAAAATCTTTTGCGTTAGGAAATGCTAAGGCAGCTTGCAAGCATCCAGACTTTCAAAGACTTCCCAGTTTTTGACGTTTTATATTTGGTTCCCATGAAAAACTGAATAGGCATGACTATCTACTCATTCACTGAATTTTAAATTCATTCTGCAGATGTATTCACACTGATATCTAAAATATGAATGCTTATTAAGGAACAGCACAAAATAATATAATACACTAAAGGTTTTATTTTGGGAGAGGCTTCTTTAAGCATGGCAAAACTCCTCAAGAAAATAGTCATTTTTGATGTTTTGCTCCAAGAAAAATACCCCAGCTATTTGGAAGTTCTATATAGTCAAAAATAGATATTTCTCATCATAAGAAAGGATTTAAAAGACTCCTGGATGCATGTTTTGCTTGCACTCACACTGCTTCATGGTTTCATTTTCATTCTGCAGACATTTTAAAGGTGCTTTCTGGAAAAACACCTTTGGGACATTATTTAGATTTTTTTTTTTTTAGATTTTTACCCACCTTTTTTTCATATTCAACTCAAGGCAATGAACATACCTAATACTCTTACCTACTCCTATTTACCTCACTGAGCCAGTTCTCATTTTTAAGGCAGGATTAGAACTTACCATCATCTCCTGATTTCTAGGCTAGCACCTTAAAAACTATACCAAACCAGCTCTCAGCTTCTAGATTATTTTTAATAGATTTGCAGAAGTTTCTGATTCAATAATTGCCTAACAATTGTTTAATCAGTTTAACTACTGAAAAAATATTGCTGGAAAAAAAAAACCAGAAAGAGATCTCTGTAAGAAAGAGTTTGCTTCTGACCCAGTTGATGGACTTCAGGCTATTTGTGATAAAAACAACAAGCACCAAATAGATTCCTACAGCCAACCCACTGATAATGTCTGAAATAAATCAAAGTCATAATTGCAAGTAGGTTGCTTAAGCAGTGAATGTGCAAAGCATCAAAACTCCCATTTGTTAGTGGCAAGCCAAAATGTAATTTCTTAAATATCAGCACAGTGACAAGACTCCAACTCTTCAGAATAACAAGCCAGGATGGAAAGAAAATGTTTGTCTGCCCAATAATATATTAGTGAATATTACGAAGCAATAAGAAATTAGAAATTCAGCCCAACAGTGTTTCTGCTGAATTGCTTTGCATATACATTTGCATTTTTCTGGATACTGGAATGTTATTTATTATATGTTGATCAGCATCCTCAAGAAAGTAATATTAGCTGTATGGATTTATTTAGATAAGGCAAATATGTAATGAGCAATGAAAAGTATTAATTGCACGCTGACCTGTTAGCCCTCAAAATTGCAAGACTGTCTTCCTTAATAATTGAGTATTTCTGTTCTGCATCTATTCCGCTTTGGGGCTTTTCCACTGTCGCATACTGATAATGCCACCAGCTCACGGAAAAGAATGTCTCACTATAAATTTAGTTTACCTTGGCAAAAGGCATGTCTTGCTGGCAAGGCTAGTGACAGCCAAGAAGAGCAGATGGCTTGTACAAAGTATTCAACAAGCCTGAAGGCTGAATTGCCAAAGTTATATTGTGGGGGCTCCATTGAAATCCAAGTAATCAGAACTTTCTAAGAAGTTGAATGACTGATTGTGTATCAGGAAACCCAGCTTTTAAACAAGGATGCAGCAGACCCCACCATTCAAATTCTATTTTTCCATCTGTACAGATAGTCTTCAAACTTAACGGCTGATCTCAAAATTGCTAAGCAAGATGGCCATAAACGGTCTTAACTCACTTTTTTTCAGTGCCCTTGTAACTTTGAATGGCCATTAAACGAACTGTTGTAAGTCAAGGACTATCTGTATTTTATTTTCAAACATTTTTATCCCAGCTATGCACTGATAACACTGACAGCCAAATATTTTGAGCCTGTAAAAGTGTATGGCTTTTCAAGTTCTCTCTCATCCGCTTTCCTTCTTTTACCTAGATATATTTAATTTCCAAACTTACGACCTTCCCCAAACGCACAATCATTTTGAATTGAGAATTGCACCACAAAATTGGAGTGGGGACTGTGCAAACTCCAAAGGATAATGGGGTCCTGATTTGCGTGGGTTTCTGAGTAGGCTGCTTCCAGAGACAGCTGTGGCTTTATCAAGAAAAAGTGAGTGGATCGAAGCTGGTTGAGGGATATATTAACACTGGACTTAGAGTTAAAACCTGAACTCTTCTTGTTGGGAATAACGACAGAAAAATATGACAAGGGAACAATCTACCTGCTGCTACACATCCTGACTGCAGCTAGGCTTGCTTTAGCGCAAAAATGGAAGAGCAAGGAAATTCCCATAGAGGAAGAGTTAATACATAAAATATTAGCATGTGCGGAAATGGACAGGCTCACAATGATATTAAAAGATAAATGTGGATCAGTTTATTATGAAACCTGGGATAAATTTTACTGCTGGAGGAATTTGAAGAGGACAGTAGGGATTAAAGACAAATGTTAAGACAGAAATATATGTTATTTTAGAACAAGTATTGTATATAAAACTTAGATGTATATGTAGAGATGAAGAATTGATTGTAAAAAGTGGAATAATCTGACAAGAATGTATATACTGGAATGTCACATCAAATCCAATGTTTGTTTGTTTTTAATTGTATTATAAATAAAATTTGTAAAAAAAGAAAAGAAAAAGTGAGTGGATCTTGTCTAAGGATTGGATAAGATGGGTTTTTTTTTGTTTTGTTTTGTTTTGTTTTGCTCCTTATAAGTTGTCAAATAGGCACTGGCCTCTTTTTGTGTCTCAGCTCATGCTATAAGCCTCAACATCAAAAAGGAAATAAGACAAATCCTACAGAAAAAAGGATGAGGGCGATGATGGTCATACCCATCTTTGTTTTCGTTGAAGAAGTCCTTAGCGCTGAAACATGATCTGTCATGGGCCATGTGTACAAAGTGTTTTGCAATTCTCTTCCCCATCTTTTTCTTTTCTTCTCTCTCTCTCTGTAGGATATGTTGCAAAATTCTCCCAACTCCATGACAGCCATACCTGGCAACCCCCAAGGAATTGTGGTACCTGCCTCAGCACTGCAGCAAGGGAATATCTCCATGGCAACAGTCAACTCACAAGTTGTGTCAGGTGGGAGGCGTGGAGCATACGTCCGTGACCATGTTAGTTGCGTCTTTTGCATGCTTGGTATTTTTAACCCCCTTCCATAACCAGATTTGAACTGTGCATGGTCTAGATGAGTGTTTCTCAACCTTGACAATTTTAAGGCATGTGGACTTCAACTCCCAGAATTCCACAGCCAGCAATGCTGGCTGTGGAATTCTGGAAGTTGAAGTCCACATCCCTAAAATTGTCAAGGTTGAAAAACACTCTAGACAGAGCAGTGTGGAAATTGATTAATGTGCACACATCTTCCTGTTCCCTCATCTTCTCAATAAGGCTGTTCAGGGCTGGGACTTAATCTCCAAAAAGGTGGCTTAGGAGCAAAAATATTGCCTTCAGACATGCCTGCAAAGTGCTCCTATGAGTCCTGAATCACATTTTAGGGACTCAGTCTATTGCACTGCAAAGTCCCACATGTGCCTTCCTCAGAATTTCTTCTCCAAAATTTCTCTCAATGCACTCACACACTCACTTCTTAAAATTTGTTTTAATTTTTAATTTTATTTATTTTTATTTTTACTAATTGCCCAGGTCATTCAGCCCATAGGAATCACAGGTTTCTGTTTTTGTGTTTTATTTAACAGACCGTATTGACATTTAAAAGCCTCTCCTTTTAAGAAAACCTGCGACACACTCTCTAACAGTCATCTATCTTTACAAAGGTCATCTTTGACTTACGATCACAAAAGAGACCAAAATATCCACTGTTAAGCAAGGGTTTTTTTAAGTGAGTCACGCCCAATTTTATGACCATTTTTTCCACAGTTATTAAGCAAATCACTGCAGTTGATAAGTAAATCACACAGCTGTTAAGAGAATCTGGCTTCCCCCATTGACTTCCCCCAAGAGCCGTGTTGGCGCAGTGATTAGAATGCAGTATGGCAGGCTCACTATCCCCACTGCCAGGAGTTCGATCCTGACCAACTCAAGGTTGACTCAGCCTTCCATCCTTTTGAGGTCAGTAAAATGAGGACCCAGATTGTTGGGGAGGGGGCAATTTGCAAATAATGCTTCAACCTTGTGACTCATTCGTAAAGCGCTGTAAAGCACTCTGCGGCAGTGTATCAGTCAGAGTGCTAATATAAATTTGGAATGAGATTTTAAAAGGAGCTTTTCTCCCATTTGACAAACCAAACCTGACAAAATTAAGCAGCCAAGAGAAATGAAAAGGGATCTGTTCCTCTATCCCAGTGCGAAATAACAGAAAGTCAAGGACTACCTGTACGTGAAGTCAGTACATTTTTTTAAGAGTTAAGTCCTCTTGGAACTTGAGTCTAGTATTGTCCTAAACATCATGGCCCAACAAGCATAAGTGGTATCAAAAAGAGATTTCAGAAATGCACCAATATTTTTTTAGCATGTCCTACCTTAAAAGGGTGATAGCCACCGACACCAGTTTTTCAGCAAAAGTTGAATTGTTCCAGGGACTTGGAAAAACTGTATGGGGTTCCAGGATCACTGTTTGCCCACTCTTATATGAAAGAGGGTGAGCAGTTGGCCTGGGCTTTTCCTCAACACACTTACCCCACAGTACAGCCTGTGCCATATTTAAGTCTTCTGATCACTGGGGAATTAGTAAGGTGAAGCAACTTGCAAGCCTACTTATTACTCAACAACTGAAGATCTACCAAAGAGCAGATTGCATGCTGGGAACGAGGTTACATGCATCTTTGCACCCATTCTGTTTTTAACCTTCCTGGAGCTACTGTTTTGATAAGAAAGGAACATAAACCGTATTTCAGTAAACATATTTCATTTGTCTGCTGAATGCAAGCATTTGCTCAGCTCTCCATCCATCAAGGTGAAATCTTCACGTCACCATGTACATTAGGGTTCTTCAAACTTGGCCCTTTTATTGGCTGAGGAATTCTGGGAGTTAAAGCCCACAAGTCATAAAAGGGCCAAGTCTGAAGACCCCTGATGTACAGTCATATTTTATTCCTGAGCAGTTTCTAAGCTCGCTGCCAGCAATGAATAAACAATTTTTTTTCACTTTGAGAGCCTTCTTTTTGGCGATATTTAGTTTAAGGAAATTGATGATGATGATGATGATGATGATGATGATATTAAAGGCCAGTGATTAAAGGTTCAGTGATTCACTGGAAATGATGAAGTCAGGATTTCCCTGTCAAGGGACAATTTTTTAAAAAAGTGAAATGTGATAAGTTGATTCCAGATTTAACCCTCTATTTTATTTTCTTATTTTTTGTAGCTTAAAAATTAGCGATTAATTGTTTGCTAATTGTTCAGAGAATGGTGCAGGTTGCAAGAAAGATATTTGAGGGCCATCAATGGAAGTCATAGATAGTCCAAGTTTAAAGTCCATCTTTTCAAGTCAATCCTTAAGTTATGATCATGAATTTAGGAAGACCATGACATCTTTCGGGCAAAGATGATAATGTAAATTCCCTTGATAGCCAGTTTTTTTCTTTTTTTCAAAAAACAATTTCAAACACATAAGGTTGGTTAAAACTTTTGTTGACTTATGGGTTTTGGATGTTGGCTTTGTTGTTGGCTAGACTTCTTAAAAATGTGAAATCCTTTCTCTATACCAGGTGGAGCCCTTTACCAGCCTGTAACTATGGTAACATCTCAGGGCCAGGTGCTAACCCAAGCAATACCGCAAGGGGCTATTCAGATCCAGAACGCACAGGTAAGAATGGAAAGGATGCTCCAGAATCACCTGGTCATTCTGAAACTTTTGCAGGTCTTCAGTGTTTTCCAAATGTGAAGGAGAAATTCCCTAACAGTGAGAACAATTAACCCGTGGAACAGCTTGACTCCAGAGGTTGTGGGTGCTCCATTCTTAAGAAGAGATTGGACAGTCATTTGTCTGGAATGGGATAGGGTCTCATGAGAAGGGCTTTGGACTAGAACTTCAAGGTCCCTTCCAGCTCTGTTATTCATTAGGAGATATATGTGAATGCATGTGGCATTAGGTAAATTGGAGTGAATGAAGAGAGGTCATCTGTCCATTCTAGGCAAGGTTATTCTTCTACAGAAGATCCCTGTTTGAAGGAGATATGTTTGAATTGCTATTTTTAAGTGCATTTTTAAAAAAATAGTATACTGTACATTAGGCAGCCTCTAATTTAGGGAAACAGGAATAGCATGAGTAGGCTTGGGGGTAAAACTGTTCTTTGCTATCTTTACTGCAGTCACTGACCAGCATTTTGTACATTTTGTGAAAAGGTCCCAGAGTTCAGGTGCTGATAAGTGCCGTTGTTCCCTTTAGCATGAGGAATGGTTGTGACTAAGACTAGTAACCTACTACACCTATTCTGTCTTAATAAGGAAGGGTTTTTCTTTCTCTTCTGCTTTTTGATATGGCTCCTACTGGGGCCTCGCCACTAGGCATGGCAGCAGAAGGATCTCCAAATGCTAATTCTAGGTTGCCATCTATCTGTTTGAGTATGGGCCACCATGTCAGTGTTGACTCTTGAGGACCATTTCAACAGATTTTCTCCAGGAGGACCTGTCCCCAACTTGGTTTTTGGTCCTCAACTTGATCTTGTTCCCATTGTTACTATAGCTAAGGGCAGGTCATCCTCTTCTCTTCCAAGCATCGTAGACACCTCCTGAAACCTGGGTCTTTGTCTAATATATCCAAAGTATGATGAGCAGGGTCATTTGTGTTGTGTGTGAGAACTCTAGAACTGTTTTCTTCTGTGATCCATTTGTTTTTATGGCTATCATGCTATTCTCAGAACACCAAATAGCCTCTAATGGTCACCTTAATTTTTACAGTGCAGTCATGGTAGCTCAACCTGCACCATCGCTATTCTTGAAGAAGTGGGGCAAGAAGGAAGAACATAATAGGGTCCCCACCACCACCAGGCCCTCATTCAGCTGCTCCATTATATTAACATCTTGATGGTGGGTCGGGGTGCAAACCAGGAGCTCAGCTGCCTTTCTAATGCCACCTTTCATACTTTATAATCAAAGAAATATACAACCTGCTTCCAGCCGCATGACATTTAAATCATTCAAACAAAGATTCAGAGAACAGAGGCATGAATAATTAAGATCTTGTGCTGGTAGGAAACAGCCTTCCTTGTTAGTTTCCCCCACTGGATTTTTGTATGCAGAAATCTTTACCTGCTTCTTGAAATGTATCCCAGTTATTCTCCCTCTTCGTAACTGTCCTATTTTGTATTAATGAGAAGCAAATCATAACAGCAGTTGCTACACAAGCTTGAATCATTAAACAAAAAACAAAAAAAACCCTGCGCATTGATGGGCCAATGCTTCCTACTGATTCAGCACTATTGGGACTTCCATTGCACCTAGTCAATCTCTTAGCTCTTTTTCAAGTCTCCAGGCCTTTCCTCTTTTGCTTTCTTTTGAATTAAAGCTTGTTTTCCTTTCTTTCTTAATAAAAGACTAGACAAACACAGTGAGATTCCTAATTCTTAGCTCTTTCTGAGTGGGAATCTAGAGGGGGAGGGAAGCCCCAAATACTATATCCGAGTCCTTCTGAAATGTGTAAATCTGGCTCAGATCTTAGAGGGAAATTGATCAGATGTGTTGAATACAAGTAGGCTGGGAATATTGTGGGACGGATGGAGCCCTGGACAAGCGCTCTTAATGTCATTTTTGTATTGCCTGGGTAATTTATTCAGCCCTGGCCTTGCTATACATCGCAAGCAGCACCTGAGGGAATCATTTATACCTGACACAGGGCTGCCATCCTGATGTTTAATTCATGCAGGAGAAATGTTTTTTATGAAGAACTGGGGGGGGGAAGTAGGTGAGGGGGTGTTCTTAAAACTGGATGCTGAAATTTCCAATTTCCTGCTAACCTCATTAGAACTTCTCTCTTCCTAAGAGCATTCTTTGTCTTTTTTTTTTCAACTACTTTCTAAAAAGATATTTCTTTGCTCTCCTTTGCGTCTGGATATTGTCTGTCCAGCCCATTGAGAATTACGTATTTTCAAAGGATTTAATAAGAGTGAAGGATATTCTAAGGCAACATAATTGGAAGTAACTTTGAACTCAGAAGGTACTGAAAACTGGAGTTTGTTCATAACAGGGGAAAGGGGAGGGGGACTGTACTAGGTCAACTATCAATGTACACACAATATAGTTGCATTGACAAAGGGAACAGTTGCTGCAGAGACATACAAACACTTAAGCATCTACAGACAACATCCATGAGAAAGATAAGAGAGTGATTTGATCCTGAAGATTTGCTGCAGTCACAGAATTTACAAAAGGTCTTCAGTCCTCTTCTGCTGAGTTTGATACACTAACTCCTTGTTTGTCAGAATGGGCTCTGATGCATAAGATCAAATTGCTTCTTAACTTTCTATTAGAATAATAGAGTTGGAAGGGACCTTGGAGATCTTCTAGTCCAGTGGTTCTCAACCTTTTTAATGCCGCGACCCCCAATCGGTCGTAAGTTGAGGACTACTCAACTGGGGCAGCACCGTTTGCAGAATGGGACTTTTGGCGGGCTCAGCAGGGCAGAGACAGCCTGGACAATTCCTATTGGCTTTTGAAAGCCAATAGAATTAGACTCTATTCAAGAGAGTCTATTCTGTTGGCTTTCAAAAGCCAATAAAATAAGAGGGAGTAGCACAGCTAAGGAAAAGGGGGAAAAAATGGCGGACTGCGTTGTTTGGCGACCCCCGTGAAATGGTCGTTCGACCCCAAATGGGGTCCCGATCCACAGGTTGAGAACCACTGTTCTAGTCCAACCCCTGCTCAGGCAGGAAACCTTATACCATTCCAGACAAATGGCTGTCCAGTCTCTTCTTAAAAGCCTCCAATGATGGCGCACTCACAACTTCTGGAGGCAGGTCGTTCCACTGATTAATTGCTTTCACTGTCAAGAAATTTCTCCTTAGTTCTAGGTTGCTTCTCTCCTTGATTAGTTTCCATTTATTGCTTCTTGTCCTGCCTTCAGGCATTTTGGAGAATAAGTTGATCTCCTCTTCTTTGTGGTAGCCCTTTATATATTGGAACAATGCAGTGTTGCAGAAGATCCTGCTGATACTGAATGCTTGAGAAGTCCCAGTGTTCAACCAGATACTTCAAAATGTTCAAATGATGGTTTTCACACAGCCTTCAGTCAGATGGTATTCAATACTTACAGCCCAGCTCACCTAACCATTGCATTCCCCACCAAGATGTCACTAAGATGAAATGTCTGCACACTGCTTATTTTTCAATAGTGTAAAGACTTTGACTGTTTAGGAAAGCTGAAGGTAATGGATGAGCCAAGCCCCTTCAAGACTTAATTTGCTTATTTTGCTTTAGAATAACTCTCACTCAACTACCAATAATTTTAAAATAATAATTTTTAAACTGCCTCATTGTTGATTGTACTGCTCATATCTTTTGAGGTGGGGAAAAACACCTTGGAGCAGAAACTTTCCTTCCTATAGATTATTTAAATCTTCATTTATTGGGCGACAATAGAAATAATCACTTTGATTTTTGGCTCTGTGCTTGTGCCTTCAGTACTTTGACAACAATCTTCTGTTCTTCAATAAGGAATGCTCGCTTGATTCCGTTGCGAACACATTTAGCACACATCAAACCTCCATAGGCTCTACTAACGTGTTTCTTTGTATTGGAAAGTCTCATAAGAACTTATGGTCGAACAGCACGGACACCACGAAGTCTTCCTGGGCACACACCACATGCAGACTTTGGTGCCTTATCAATTTTCTTAGTATAAAGATAAACAGTCCTATTACCAGGTGTCCTGGACAGTCTGGTCTTGTTAGAGGCTGTATTGTAGGACAGCCTACGCCGATATGTCAGACGTTGGACCATTTTCAGTGCCTTAAGTGGGCGCTTGCATCGGAAGAGCCCCTTCCTATAGATTTACAGGTCCATCCTTCTCTCCATGGCATACTTATTTATCTACCCCCCCCTCCCCCAAAGAGGAAATATATTCCTCCAACAAGGAGACAGACGTGTACAGACAAGAAAAGAGACACCTATGCAAAGTTAGAATTCCTCTCATTTCAATAGCAAACAACTATGGGAAAGATCTGTGTTCCTTACATTGAGTTAAGACTTGGGCAGAAGGACTCCACCTTTAAAAAACCAGACTGTCATTGACACATTGTGATGCCTGGCATAAAAGTAGGTTTGGTAACTTGATAGTGTTATGTGTAACAGTTGGGAAAGTTTGAAAGCTGATCAAGTCACGTGCAGGTTAATAAAGGGACTTAGATGTTTTGAGTTAAACTTTTGAAAGGAAGAAGTTTTCATTTGGACCCTGTTGCCCCAAAATCAGAGTCTAGATCTCACCTTAATAGGTAACAAAGAACACAATAGAGATGAAGGTCCTTTGGCTTCTCTACCTTTGCAAGATCCAGGGTTTCATAAGCTTGGTTCAACTATCTACGTATTTAGACACCTCAAGCTGAAGCATTTTAACAGTGATTTGTTGGGTAAGTTAAAATGGCTAGGATCACAGGACTTCTTAAGTCAAAACCAAAGAAACCATCTGATGGGCTTAGTGCAATGTGAGAACCAAAATCTCTCCTTGATTCAAGAGTCCTAGTCTTTATCCATCCAGGTTTTGCAAAAGAAAAAAAAAAATGTTGACGAGATCTCACTGTTTTCCAGTCTTGCCTTTTTTTAAAAAAAAACAAGGAGATTGTTTTGACCCCCCTCTTGAAGTAAAGGCTTATCGCATCTTCCCTCCCCCCTTTAATTTCCAAATGAACATCACTTTCCTCTTAAGTTGTGCAGTTGTCTCTTCACCACACTGTCTCAGGCCTCCTAGAAGCCACTGTGAAACGGGACTAACATCGTCAAACTGTGTTGCCATGGCAACCCAGGCTTCTTCTTCTTTTCTTTTAACCTGCATTGTGGTTGAAGCTTTTCTTTCTCTTCTGCCTGCCCTCTAGGTTAACCTGGACCTGACCTCTCTTCTTGACAGCGACGATAAAAAGTCAAAGAACAAACGGGGAGTCCTCCCGAAACATGCTACAAATATTATGCGCTCCTGGCTTTTTCAGCATCTTATGGTGAGCAAAACCAACACGTGTTGTCTGAGAGATTAATTCCCTTGCGGTTCTTCTTCCCACTTTGGAGACGTCAACTTGGAGAACAGAACACTACTCTCTTTGTGCCCTATGCAATGCTTGTCTTATCTTAATCTGTTCCAAAATGTATGCAATCTTCCTTATCCTGTTTTGAAAGGTTGGGATTAGAAATGGGCAGATCAAAATCTAGTCCAGGTCTGCAGGTATTTTTCCATTCCCCGTACTATTATTTGCGATCTTTTTTTTTTAAAAAAAAATACTCAATATTTATTATCCATTCCCATTTTCCTCAGGGTTTGGTTCACCGCTTTGTCTAGTTTATGTTTATTTTATGTAGCTGCCCCTTCCTTCCTCAGTAGCTTAACACGATTACTCAAATCAATTTATTTTCTAAGATCTCACCCAATATTGAATCGCACTATAATCTTGCTGGATCTGCCCAACACACTAAGTGACCAAAACAAAAAGAAAAGTGGAATGCAAACCTAGCTTTGTGTACTGTGTAAATACAGCCACCAAATTGTTCATTGACCTCATTAAGCCTTAGTTGACCTTCAGTGACCGAATGCCCTATTCTGGAAACAGGTCATTCTAAAGCCTGACCTTTTTTTTCCCTGCATATTATTGAATAGGGAATGACAACACTAGTAGACCCCCGTTCATTGCTCCCTGTCTGTGCAGCAATGGAATTCATTTGTGCATTTGCTCCAGTTAAAAATTGATGGTGGATTTGTTTTACAACCTTCGTTTTTATCGTACATGTAGGACTCTTGGCTTTGTTCCTTAGAGATCATCAGGCACAATCAGGCAGCTTATTCTGCAGGATAGACTCTGCCCATATAATAGCAGGGCACGGATTTGATCAGCTGAAAGTTAAGGGTACACATATTCTGACAATCAAAGTAAGATTTTCCAATATCCTTATTCAGGGACCCAAGTAATCTAAAACCTAAGGATCATTAATGTCTACGGAGATCCTCAGTCATCCAGGTCATGGTTATCCCAAAGGTGTTTTTTTCAAGAGGTAACTGGACTTTGTTTTTCCTTGAAGACATTTCGCATCTCATCCAAGAAGCTTCTTCAGTTCTGACTGAATGATGGAGAAGGAAGGATTTATATGACTGCAAGGAACCTTTCCATTCGCCACCATTCCGTCAGAACTGAAGAAGCTTCTTGGATGAGACGCGAAACGTCTTCAGGAAAGAACAAAGTCCAGTTGTCTTTTGAAAAAGCACCTTTGGGATAAGGATCATTAGGTTCATCTTGCTACACAAAGACAGGACTTGTGTAGCCAAGTCTCCTATTTTTTTTTTCAGGAGAAGCCAAGTATTACCTAATTTCCCTTATTTGTTCTCTCTTCTACACCAGTGCACAGCCAAAGGCTTTTCATTTTTCAACTGTTCCCCATCAAATATTGTAAGCATTACATTGCCAAACAGAGTTGGCTATGTAACATTATCGCTGAAGGCAAACAAGGCCTGCTGATGTTTTCTGAGTTGATCTAGATCAGGGGTCTTCAAAGTTGGCCCTTTTATGACTGGGGGACTTCAACTCCCAGAATTCCTCAGCCAGTCTTGTTAAATTCTGGGAGTTGAAGTCCACAGGCCATAAAGTTGCCAACTTTGAAGACCCCTGATCTAGATCAAGGGTGCGAAATTATGACAACTTTACAATCTATGGACTTCAACTCCCAGAATTCCTCAGCCAGTCTTGTTAAATTCTGGGAATTGAAGTCCACAGGCCATAAAGTTGCCCACCCGTGGCCTGGATCCTGGTTATAACCGGTAGGGAAACAGCAGGTTTGATGCTGCTTTTGCCTGTTTAAAAACTACAAAAATCACTGTAACACTGGCAACAGAGGGGAACGCAAGGTTTTAAAGCCAACAAGATGTCTGAATATGACAGAAGTGATTTATTTCACAGATGCGTACAAATGACACAATCATTAGGCACCAGAACTCAGGAGTTCTTGATTTATTGGTCTTCTCTGCAACCATTCATGTTGACAAGAAGGAATTTTAAGTCAACATACCCAAGAAGATGCTGTAGGGAAATACTCAATTAAGAATTCCTTCCTTGCTTTGAGGTAGTCAGCCAAGAAATAAACCCTCCAATAATAAAAGTACAAAGCAGCCCCATTTGAAAAATCCAGCCTCACCCTCTTCTGTCATTGCAGCTGCTCTTAGCTGTGATAAGAAGTCATGGACCCCCAATTTTTCTCACTGATGAAACTCTCTGGGGAAAGACAATTTTTAGGAAGTAAGATGTTTCGTAGTAACTTGCTTGTAGTTTTTTTCTGCCTTATTACTGTTTTTCTTGATCCGCAACTTGGCTACCAGTGTTTTCAAACAGGACATTTTCCTAAGCTGATCCTAGCTCATTAGAAAACATAAACACCCTATTAATCTGTTCTAGCTACATAGTAAGAAAAGGTAAAGGTTTCCCTGTCCAGTTGTGTGCAGTACTCATCTTTGTTTCTTAGCTGAGGGGACCAGCATATTCCAAAGACATTTTCCTGGTCATGTGGCCAGCATGGCTATATGCCAGTGGTGGCAAACCTATGGCACGCATGCCAGAGGTGGCACTCGGAGCCCTTTCTGTGGGCACACATGCTGTTGCCCCAGCCCTGCCTCCCCCGCGGCCCCTCCCCAGCAGCCCCCCCAGAGGAGAGTCGTCCCTGGGCACGGCCCGCCCTGAGCTGCACAGCCAAGGGCCGGGCAGCAGGGACAAGACTCCGCCCTTGCACCCCGTCGTGCACAGATGATGTTGCAGGGTGCGGGTGGAGGGCGTGGCTGCCATGGCGCTGCAGGACCACCTGGGCGATCTGCAATGGGCCATGGAGGCACTGGGTGGCCCTGCATGCGGGTGGGGCAGGGGGCGGGTGGGGGCGGAGCAGGCAGGGCAGGAGGTGGAGTGGTGGCGTGGGGGGCAGGTTTTGGACACTCGGTCTTTAAAAGGTTTGCCATCACTGCTATATGCCAAAGGCACACGGAACACTGTTACCGTCCCACCAGAGCGGTACCTATTGATCTACTTGCATTTACATGTTTTCAAACTGCTAGGCAGGCAGGAGCTGGGGCAAGGAACGGGGGCTCACCTGTTGTGCGGTGCTCGGGTCTCGAACCTGGGCTGCTGGCCTTCCAGCTGACAAACTCAGCATCTTTAACCACTGAGCCAACGGAGTGAAAGCAAGACGTTTTGCCCTTGCTTTGAATAAGCTTCTTAATGTCATCATGAGGCAGCCAACGCTTGCCTTCTGAATTTTATGTCATTAAAGGTTGATTCCCTTTTGTCACTCATAAATTGTTTCTGTGGTCCAGAATGGATGCTTTTAAGTGCTTGAGTGACCCCAGTGCAGGGAGACCCGCTCCCAGTTGACTTATATACCCCTTTGGCATAAACCTAGTAGTGCAGTTACCACTATTAAACTGGATGTAATGGCCTTGGGGGTTCCTCATTTAGATGGCAATGTAAATGAATACACTGCTTCAAAATATAGCAAGCCAACACTTCCAGAGCAAGCCCTGAACTTCTGCCCCAAAAGGGTTGACCTGATGGCCACATTATGTGAAGTAATAATGTCATTGCTTATATTGTTCACTCCCTTGCTTGTTGGCTTCAACCCAATATGCCTGTCCTACTTGTTTCTGGGTCAGCCAGATGCAACTCAATCCCAAATGCTCTGCTTTTTCAGCTGATCCAAAAGTTGGAAAGAAAAAAAAATCATCCCTAATCTATTTTCAGTCTTCATTGCCAGCTCTCTCTATAGTATTAATGCAACAACATAGTTCTACATCCTGCATGTACATCCTACATCCTACAACCAGTTTTCCAAAGTGAAATAACCAATTCTTTTCTTTTCTTTCTTTTTTCCCCCTTTTCTTAATCAAAATCCTCACATGGAAATTTCCCCACATTTGGAATTAACTTACATTCTTATATTTAGGACGTCATCCGCCACCTAGTGCTCAAGGCAAGGATACTACTCAAAGAATTGCCTAAAGATTGTCAAAATCCAGAATGCAATAATTATGAGAATTTCTATGCACAGTAACCTTGTTGGAGCAGGTTAAAAAAAATTGAATCGATGGTTTAGACAGTGTTATTTTCAGATCATCCTCCCTTCTGCTTATTTTCTAAAGAAATAATAAAAGTTCAATACTATTTTCCCCTTTTAATCTTTATTTTTCTCCAAGATGGTAGAATTTCTTTCTACAAGTCTATGGATTTTCCCTCCCTTCGTTAGAAACTTTAGGGCAATTAAGGACCGGGTGCCAGAGTGCTGAGGTCAGAGTCTTTATCGCTATTATAAGATGAAAAGAAAATGTCTGCACAGATTACACAAATTGAGATCACTCAAGCTTAAGTAAAATATAGAAATGCTTGCGATACTTAAAAGATGAACTGCTAAATATGTAAAGTAGTAAAATCTGAGATCCCAAAAGATTGAGCTACTCATGGAATGTTAAAGTCCTGAACTAAGAATTTTTAAATTGGTATTATAGAAAATGCAAACTATAAAGCTATGCTATTAAGCATAAAAATATTGAAAAATATCATTTCTAAAACTGTTGGATCTTTGAACAAGATCTAGCAGAAACTGGATATTGGAACAGGGTGCTTCTTATATTCTTTTATCTCTCCCTTTATCTGCAAAATCCAGATAAAGAGAACTATTGGCATGCATAAACTTGTATATAAGGCAGTCAATATATATCCTTAGAAGCCGTGGTGGTGCAGTGGTTAGAATGTGTATTGCGGGCTAATTCACTGATCATTGCCAGCAGTTCGATCCTGACTGGCTGAAGGTTGACTCAGCCTTCCATTCTTCTGAGATCGGTAAAATGAGAACCCAGATTGTTGGGGGCAATATATGGACTCTGTAAACTGCTTAGAGAGGGCTGTAAAGCTCTATGAAGCGGTATATAAGTCTAAATGCTATTGCTATTGCTATCCTTTTCCCAAACTGCCCAGATCTCATG